ACGCTGAACGGATCTCCCCAGTGGAGTCACCAAAAATCGTGTTGTCAACTTTTGTGACAAGTTGACAAGCACGATCATAGCACCTTATGCCTTACGGTGATCCTAGAGTCGCCAACTATCTCGATCTAGCAAAAAGCTAAACCTAGATGGGTTTTGATAACTAAACCGGCTAGCAGAGCCGATTTCTAGATAGCTACCCGTCTCGTGGGCAAAACGGAAGGTTTTCAGGACAAACCTACAAAGAGGTGTCGCACTCTCGCAGCGGCGGCGGACGGTTTACGGCGCAAACCGACAAAGATGGACAGACTAAGAGAAAACTAAAAGCAATATGAAAAACGATTCGATTGATTGATTATAGATTGGTTAGTTACAATGGAACCGGCCATGTCCCTTATATAGGGGTTGGTATTACCCTCTACATGCCTTCCTCTACGTCCAACTCGGGATAGAAACCAAAGAAAACCCGAAACATGCCTTCCCGAGTAAGGAAATCTCGAAACCCGACGAAACACAGTCAGACTCGGACCCTGCCGGTCAGACCGGCCACACACCACCGATCTGACCGGCCCTCAACCGGCGGTCAGACCGGCCCACTCGGAGGAAACCTATATGGGTGTAAACAATATGTACTGGAGTAATATATATAGATGAGGAGGAGGATTACACGCACGTACCTTGAGCATGAGCAGGAGGAGGAATCACCAGCTTGTTGACGACAAGTCATGTCAGATTGGTTTTCAGCCGCGTGCGGCGTTGTTGTTGTTGGTCTGGTGGTGGCGATGGCATGTGGTTTGCTCATACTAGCAGTCTTGTTGGTGGTAGTTGGTTTGCTCATACTAGCAGTCTTGTTGGTGGTAGTTGGGAGGCGCTAATGAGGAGGTAAAAGGGCGACAAGAAAGCCGACGGCGGACGAGAGGACGCGCCGCCGCCATTGAACCAAACACCGCTCTCAATCTCGCCGCCGCCGCCGACATGATTTCTCTTTGTTTTCTTTTCTTTTCCTTACTGCGTTGCGTCTTTGGGCGTCTTGATGGAATGCACGCACTTTGCTTCTCGGTAGTAATTCCCCAACCCTAGCAATTTATTTATATAGATACAGTGTGAGGGAGGAGGAGATTGATCAAATACCGGATCGGATCATCGTAGTCGGTAGGTACTACTACAAGCCAATAGCCATATAGCCAGACGGACTGGGAATTACGATCGGAATCCAAAATAGTAGTAACTATAGAACCCAATATTTTGGAAGATCGGCATTGGATTCTGGTTCGATTCTGATCGCCCAACCAATACATACTCCCTAACCTCTACTCCCTGTCTCCTAAAGATTGAACTTTTCTACAAGTTCTGGGATTCAATTGCATAAAAATTTCGGCACAACTGAAATGGACGAATTTCAGAAATATCGGACAAATCTTGACCGAATTTGTTGCAATTTTTAAAACAAAGCACCAGAAAACTGGGGAAAAAACCAAATAATCATATGGGACTCAGCACACAAGCAGAATAACAATATTGATGTAAATTTTAAAACAATCATCAGAAAACTAGGTAAAATCACCGAAGGATCATCGAAGCATCAGCACATAAGCAGAATAACCGGAATAACACTAGTTTTACTTCATAATAAATGCAATTATGCAGTCCTAAAGCCAAGTTCATGACTGCATAATGCATTCTGCTAATAGCAAGTTTTGTGCAAGCGGTTGCATAATACACCCATATACGTACCGTTGAATATGCTCTGAGATTCATTGACGCAAAATTTGTCGCACACACGAAGGCCTAAGATATTTGCTTCACTCTAGTATAGGTCCTATCAAAATCGGGTTAGGAACATGCTAGTTAGTTTGATCTTGCAACTAACAAGGTAAAAACGAGAAGATTAGATCACGGGGCCAATCGACCACAGGGGTGATATAGTATTCTGTGTCCAACCGATACCGATGGAATTTTGGATCGATCGGATATATAACCGATAGATATGAATATGAAGGATTAAAGAGACATTGGTCGGAGTTTAGATGTAATATATCTATATCTATACCTAATAATTATAAAATACGTAAGGCTTCCGACTATTTTTCGTCCATCCACCTCCCCATCCCGCATGGCCGCACTCCTTCCTCCTCGCACGACTCCTCCCTCTTTCCCGCGCCCCTCCGGCTCTTTTCCAGCGCCCCACAACTCTCCCTTGTGATCCCTCCCTCTAGGCGCCCCAAATCTCTCCCTCGTGACCTCCCCCTGCAGCCCCTCTCCTTCTTGGCACCCCTCCTCCTAGCGCCCCTCTTCTCCACTACGCTCCCTCCTCCCGCACGTTCAAGGAAAACAGAACCTCCTCGTTTGGAAACACATTTTGATGCACTCACCCGGTGGTGTTAACCATTAGAGCTCGTTGTTGCCATTTCTCTCTCTACCAGGACCACGTCATTGTTGGCCACGTTCCCATTGTTCTGGTTTTTTTCATTACCAAGTGCCACCATCTATGGACGAGTCACATTGTGGGACACGTCCAACCACCTTCCTCACCACCATTTAGTCATAGGAGCATTGGCGCCCATCTTCCCTCCTCGTTTGTTTCTTGTTTCAGCTAGGGAAGATAATGAACAGTGTTAGTATTGTTTTTCCATCTTTTGTTCTTCCTGCGCGTTCAAGGAAAATGGAACCCCCTCGTAAGGAACGTGTTTTGACGCACTCATCCGGTCATGTTCACCACCAGAACTCGTTGCCATTGTTTCTCTCTCTATCAGGATCACGTCGTTGCCTGCTGCGTTTCTACTGCTCTGTTTTTTTTTGGTTGCCCACCTCCACCATCTATGGGCGAGTCATATCGTATGACATATCCTACCATCTTATTCACCGCCGTTTGGTCGCCAAAGCACCGACACCCATCTTCCCTCTTTTGTTTCTTGCCTTCAGCTAGGGAAGACGATAAGCAGAGCCAGTTGGGTACTATTCCTTCCTGGTCCAGCCCAACCATGCTCCTGGACCACACACATAATATAGACCATATAAATGAACATAACTATAAATTTCAAATATATGACGAAGAAACGGTACCAGTTCAGAATTATTGCATCGGATTTTCATCTATGGGCTAAAATAAGTTTTTTTAAAAAAATTCTAGCTAATTTCAATTGTTTTCACATTTACAGTATTAGTTTTAGCACTATTTAATATATTAAAAATTGTTTTAACTTATAATTTTTCTCTGTGTTGAATTATTTATAGCTAAAAGAAAAAACAGGATTTAGTTATATAATTTTACTGATATTGAATTATCATTCTGGCCAAAGTTATTTGTAGTTTCATATTGTTATTTCGATTATTATATTTCCTTCATCATTTATGCCCAATTGTGATATATGGTTTAGGATTTAGTTTATGTCAATAAATGTTATTTATAATCCGTTGCAATGCACAAGCATTATGCTAGTAGTATATGTAAATCTTGATAGATCAAACCAAACCGAGATAGTATAAGATTGAAAGTATTCTTTTTGCTGATCAGAAACCTTATTTCTTGAACTTTGACTGTGAAAAAACGATGAAGCTTCTAGAGGCGCAAAAACACAAAGGCAAATAGGTAAATGCTATGGAACGCATGGTGAACAACCCGCGGGAGTACTGTAATACCGATTAGTTGGATCTAGAGGAACTCAGGCAAATTAAAGTACTACCTCCTTGATTGGATCTCATGTCAACTAGCTTTTCAGAGACCTAAAAAGATAGAAGCCCCTCTCCTCTCTCTGCAACTAGAGAGGTAGGCAAACCTGAGTTGATATGTCGAAACACCAACCGGATCAGAAACCTCATCCTAAACTTACTTCGAAATAGGTTCGAGAGCTTCCATTTCAATGTGTCTTTCGACAATTATATATGTTGATCCTGAATGTAGGCCGATGCACTGAGATATTAATTAAAGCTTATCAATATTCGCGAAGTTTGTGATTATGATCATTAGCAATATAAATCTATTAATCACAATCTTGATTGAACAATTAAATTTTTATAACAAGATGTCACACTATTATACATATTTCTAATGCCATTGAAATTCAAAGTTTCACGTGTAAGAAGAATTTAATTTTAATTTGATTGTGTTGCATATTCAAAATTTTAACTTTATTAATTTTTCTATGTTTCTCAATGTATCATGTACTAGTAATTGATACTGTAGTCAATATATTTTTAATGTTACATTGTTTTAAAAAAAATAAAAGTAAGTTTAAACATTTAAGAACGTGATGCAATATTATATTTCTCTAAAGTGATAAAACAATGCCTGATTTTTGGATCCCCGGCCCTATAATTATTGAGGAGACAAAGAACCTTTTTTAAAGATACAAGAACTAATTGGTGAACGGTTGCTCGCAGAACCATTAATTGAATTCACCGTACCCCGCTAGCCCTTGTTACTTCCAGTCTCTTCAAAACAGACGACGCCGAACACGACTTGGTATATTTATTTTCAAGGTAGCCGGCCGGAATATATGCTAGAGAAGTAAAGTAAAGTAAAAATCGTAACAAACAAAGTAGTTTGACAAAGTTTGTGTCAAGTATATCTTTCTCTTTCTAAACATACCAGCATCGTTATCTTCAGGACTTCAGCGTGATAATCCGACGAACAGTTAATTGGTTAATTCCATTGTTTCGCGCTCGTGGTTTCTTACTTGACGCACGTGCAATCGCGTGCTTGCTAACGCGTTCTAGCTACCCGTACGTACTGTCGTACTCCAGGTCTCCAGCATATAGCTAGCATCGCGTGCATGCTAATGGCGCTGTACGTATAGCACGGCCAGTTGTACGGTGAAGGTGAAAAGGTAATTCGTCGTTGTCGTTGGATGTATCGCCACGCATTGACGCATCCATGCCTGCACGCCACGCCGCCGACGGCGCGCACCCAACACAACACAATACGTCCGCGCCGACGCGCGTGCACATACCATAATACCCATCTCCCTATATATATCCATGCAATACACCTCGCATCAATCATCCATCGCGGCTAGCTCCGTCGTGTAATCTCGAGAGGTTTGCAAAGCCAATTAAGCGTAAGATCGATCAATGGCGCCGCGATGCCTGGCTGCTCTTGCACCCCTGGCCGTGCTGCTGCTGCTCTCCTCCTGCCTCGCCGCCGCTCCGGCGACGGCGCAGCAGAGCAGCAGCATCGGCGACACCGTGGTGTTCTGGGGCCGGAACAAGGCCGAGGGCTCCCTCCGTGAGGCCTGCGACACCGGCCTCTACAACACCGTCATCATCTCCTTCCTCAGCGCGTTCGGCCGCGGCAGCTACAAGCTCGACCTCTCCGGCCACCCCGTCGTCCCCGTCGGCGGCGACATCAAGTACTGCCAGTCCAAGGGCAAGACAGTCCTCCTCGCCATCGGCGGGCAGGGCGGCGAGTACTACCTCCCGTCCTCCCAGGCCGCCGCCGACCTGGACGACTACCTCTGGAACGCCTTCCTCGGCGGCGGCCGCAGCGGCGTCGCCCGCCCATTCGGCGACGCCGTCGTCAACGGCATCGACTTCTTCATCGACCAGGGCGCGACGGAGCACTACGACGAGCTGGCCAGGCTGCTCCACGGCCACAGCAATGGCGGCGTGATGCTGACGGCGACGGCGCGGTGCGTGTTCCCGGACCAGCGGCAGCAGGCGGCGCTGGCGACGGGGCTCTTCAGCCGCATCCACGTGAAGCTGTTCAACGACGGGCGGTGCACCTGGGGCCGGAGAGAGTCGCTGGAGAAGTGGGCGGCGGCGTACCCGGACAGCCGGATCTACGTCAGCATTGTGGCTTCGCCGGAGGCGGACAGGGACGCCTACATGTCGCACAAGGATCTCTACTTCGATGTGCTGCAGTTCATCAACAAGCTCCCCAACTACGGAGGCATCATGGTCTGGAACAGGTACTGGGACAAGAAGACCGGCTACATCAACGGTGACGTGTTCTAATTCCTTATTAAGCTAAACATATATTACCAAGATGAATATGATATGTTAAATGTGTAATATGTTGAACAATGTACAAATAAAGTGAGGTCAGTATGTGCAGATCTCACGTACAGTGAATTACTAACTGGTGGTGATTGTAATTTGTAATTCCAATTTGTATATTTTCCGGATTTCGTGGATGATGTGGTTTCTTACCTCGGAAAGAGTATTCATCCCTTGAAAGGATATCCCATCGTTTTATGCATATTATATAAAAAGCCATAAAAAATTGAAATAAATTGACAAGATAGATTAATATGAAATATATCACTCTACGAATATGCAAGTTAAAATTTAACTTCTATAAGTTGTAACAAAAAGTAACAAATATAATTGTGAAGGTGGATGGAGCGGAGGCGGACGACGGTCGTCCCCATGCTCTCCCTGTGGCGCGGCGCCTCTCTACCGCCTAGATCCAGTGGCGGTGCCCCTCTCCCGCCTTCTCCTGCGCGACGTCGACGACGACGACGAGACGAGTGGCGGCGACAGCTATGACAACGACGAGCTACGGCGGCAGCCGGCCCCGCCGACGACGACGAGGAGGAGACGGCGGCCAGGAGCGGCGCCGCCAGATTTAGGGTTTCATTTAGGGTTTTCTTTTTTTTGATTTTTTTTATTTTTGTTTTTCCGTGCGGGCCACATAAAGCACCCGCACGCGAAAACCCGATTTTCGCGTGCAGGTGTTCCATATCTCACGCGAAAATCCTTTTTGACCGCACGGAAAAATTATTTTTGTAGTAGTGTGTTCGCGGTGACCTAGAAGTGGTCTCCTCTTGGGTCTGCTTGGAATAGAACTAGGGTAAGTTGGGGTTCACGCTGGCACGATGGTAGGCTAAAAGGAGGAGGCTGGACGTGGGGCTCAGTGGCATGTCTCGGCATTGACGTTATGACCCCAGCGTTCTCAAGCCGTGAACCCATGAGGACTCACCTAGCGTTCTCGAGCCATGAGGATGATGGAATGTGATATATGGTTATATCACAGAGATATGCGGATGCCACAAGTTTATTATATAGTTGGGTTTGGTCGGGTTTCCCCTCTATTTGGTCATGTGGGCAAAAGTGAAGCGGCTAGGACCATACTCGCACTCTGACGATGTCTATGTTACATGGGCATCATCTTGGTGGCCGGTCCGCCATGGTATGAGGGTGTAGGTTTTGTAACAATCCACTTTTGTTCTTTGGTTCGTAAAAATGTTTTTCATGTGCACTGCACTGCATGAATTATTTCGTGCATAAAAAATCCCAGCTGAGCAAAATAATGTTTGTACGATTGCTCTAAATGGTTCCCACTGCCATAACCGACTCTGAGTTTTCAATATTGTCCAAAAATTCTGGATAAATTCCTAAATATTCCATACCTTACTACTAGCCTTGCCTCCAAGTTATGTTTGGATTGAAGCAAGTTTACCCATCTAACCATTCAAACCCTCAGTCGAAATTGGAAAATTTAGGGCACTGTTCACCCAACTGGAGACCTTTCTCTCCTCCACTCATTGTCTCTTATCGTTGACCTGTTGACCTAATACTATCCCTTCTTTCTAGAAAGTTAAGACCATTAGTTGTGCTTAGAAGAAGCCACATCATCGATTTATTTTCTCAACATAGGATTGATTATTGATGGCACATATTGCCATCTCATCACCTTGCCCCAATCCATTTCCTCTCCTTTCTATTTCTACTTGAGAAATTACAGGAAAACTAACACAATTAATTAAGCCACAAGGAGCTTTCACAAGTCTCATAGCATCCCTTTATGAGCCTCTTAACATCCCTTCAGCATTCATAACAGACCACAAATACCTTCCACCATCCTCTGAACTCATCCAATCCGTGAACCATATTCGTTGATTTTTTCTTTGAAAGAACCACGGTAGGGGAAGCCCCCACCGTTAAGATTTTATATTAATAAGGGGGAAAAAATTACAACAAATTTAACCACTATAACAATGTATCTCTCTCAGAATTTTTGACTCTATGAACTAAAAGGGAGAGATCATTCCTAAAGAGAACTCTCCAAGAGGGAACAGAGGGAACAATGTTTTCAAAAATTAAACTATTCCTCTGCTTCCAAATGTTCCAAGCAGCATAAAGCACCTTCTCAACAAAATGGGTAGAGTTATATGAATTTCTGGCCGTGACCAACATTTCACCAAAGCTTAAAGAAAGATTCCAAACCACACCAAATTGCGCCCAACATTGAGTACTAAAAGGACACTGGAAAAATAAGTGGAGAGTTGTTTCCCTTGATCCTGTTGAACAAAGTACACAGAGCAAGGAAGCATTTTGAGGGGAGCAATGCCTTCTGTCTAACATGTCATAAGTATTTAACCGATCAATCAAGAGGAGCCAACCAAACACCTTGACTTTCATAGTACAACTACTCTTCCAAATCCATTTAATATAAACAGGCACATGGACATGAGAAAAATTCATGGCATAAATTTTCTGTGAAGAAAAAATACCGTTGCCCCAAACATATGTCCAGCGATCACTTATCATTAAGATGCTCCAAGGTATCTGCAGCTGACATTGCTAAATATTCTTGAAAAGCTTGCTCTGAAAGTGGCAAGGCAAAGAGCTAAGGTAGATCAGAAGTAGAGAACATCAGAACTGAGAGATTTGAATTCCTGGCAAAAGAATATATTCTGGGATAAACCAATGCCCTGACTTTATTGTTCCACAAATCTTCCCAAAACAAACAAGATTTTCCATCTTGCACAGTACAGGCCGAGATGCCTCTAAAAATTTCCACAAATTGCAAAACATCCCTCCACCAAAAAGATCCTTTAGGAGTAACAGCATGAGGAGGTTCTGCAGTGTAGTAAGTATTCCAAATCAAACTGACCTAGGGAACAGGATATCTATTATAGAACTTATGCAGATTCTTCAAGAGAAGGGCATTATTTTGCAATCTAAGGTCTATTACACCCAAACCACCTCTATCTTTCGGCTGACAAACTCTTTCCCAGAGAACCAAAGACTTCTTACTAGAATTAATACCAGATCCCCTCCACGGGCAATGTCTCCTAGCTCTATCAATACTTTCTATGACTGTCTTTGAAAGTGAAAGAGAGCACATGTAGTAAGTGGGAAGGGAGGAAAGAACTTCATTCACAATGGTCAATTTGTCCCCATGAGATAACAAAGCAGTGGTTGCTGAGAGTCTTCTCGCTACTCTATCAATTAGAGGAGCAAAATCAATAACTCTTGGTCTTGTGGTTCCAAGAGGAAGACCCAGATAAGTAAAAGGTTACTTACCAATAGAGCAACCAAACAATTTTGAGAGATGATCAACCTTTTCCAAATCTACATTCAGAGGAATCATGCATGACTTACTATAGTTAATCTTAAGGCCAGTTGAAGAGGCAAAAGTGTTCAAAATTGCCTTGAGACAGAAAAGCTCTTTTTGGGAAGCAGTCAAAAAAATAAGAGTATCATCTGCATACTGGACAATCAGAAATTCATTACCAGGTGTTGGGATTGGCATTGTAAGAACTCCCTGAGAACAAGCTTTATTGACTATAGATTGTAACAAGTCAGCTCCAAGAACAAATAATAAGGGTGAAAGTGGATCACCCTGTCTTACACCCCTTTTGCAATAGAAGGATTTGCCAAGAACACCATTTAGGATAACTGAAGAAGAGGCTGAAGAAAAAATATGAGAAATCCAGCTTATCCATTTAGGATCAAAGCCTTTCTGCCTCATGATGTCCAATATAACCGAATGTTCAATAGTATCAAAAGCTTTCTCAAAATCCAATTTTAAAAGAACTATTTCCCTCTTAGAATGCTGGCACTGATGCAGATATTCAAAAGACCAAGCCAAACAGTCCTGAATATTTCTAGCCTTAATGAAACCATATTGGTTTTGGTGGATCAATTCAATGATGACAGATTGTAGCCTATCAGCCAGCACCTTAGTAAGAAGTTTTAGAGCCACACTCTGTAAAGAAATTGGCCTGAAGTCATTTACCTTTTCTGGAGAAGACTTCTTAGGGACTAGAGTTATAAAGGATCTATTAATACTCTCAAGCACCAGAGAACCCTCACAAAATTGAGCACAAAGATTATAGAAGTCCTGTTTAATTATAGGCCAACAGGCCTTAATGAAGCAACCATTGAATCCATCAGGCCTTGGAGATCTATCAATTGGCATTTTGTTGACAACTTCATCAATTTCCATGGTTGTAAAGCCAAGAGACAATGACTGAAGATCAGGAGCAGCAGAAATGAGATCTGCCAAACTGAAGTGCATGACTGGAGAAGAAGAAACTCCCATCCTTTGCTGAAAGGTTTGAAAAATAATTTCTGCCTTTTCTGCATGATCAGAAAGCACCCTTCCATCATCAGACTTTAGCTGCATAATTAAATTTCTGCGATATCTTTCAGTTGCCGCAGCATGAAAGAATTTTGTATTTTCACCACCAAACTTTGCCCACCTTATAGTGCACCTTTTTTGCCAATAGACTTGTTTAAACTTAAGGAGCAAAAGAACCTTACTTTTCATAAAGAGTCTAAAATTCCACTCAGCCAAGGTCAAGTCTCTGAGCTCCTCCAATTTATCAACAAAGGCTAGAGCCAGATGGCTAGAATCGAAGTATGAAAGTTTAGTATACTTCACGTAACTAAAGTTTATGGTTCAACGATTTTATTTCAGTTTGTTTACCAATTCTATATGTATTTGCTTCTGTTTATTTATTGAGCATAGCCTATGAATTTGCTCTCGCACGAACAAGGTGGGAGTTTTTGATGAATTGTTTCTGCTAACTTAGAAAAAGAACAGCTATTGCGGTAATTCCATAATGCATTGTCTATTGCTTTAGTTTCTCATGAAAAGCTTATATTGTTTGACCCATTCTTATTAGTGCTATCTAGGATATTGGCTCCTGTACTTATGGGAAAACCTGAGGATTGACATAGCAGCGGATAAAATTGTCATACCATTGGATTACCTTCGAAGCAAAGGATTCTCATAGAAGGAGATGACATTTTTGTGTTTCTGCAAATCAATTTCTTCATCCTGTGGCTGATTCCTGGCCATAGACATCTTTCCCCAATTTTTGGTATGGCTTGAGGTCTATGACAATTTTGTGTTTCTGCAAATCGATTTCTTCGTCCTGCGGCCGATTCCTGGTTGTAGATGTCTTCCCCCAAT